ATATGACAGCTTATCGAAGAGGACGAAAAATGGTAGATGAGAAAGTGGCAGAAGCTGAGGTGGTGTGGTAGTAAGAAATTGTTTAAAATGCTTCACCTTATAGATCAATGAGCAAAATGATGAAGAAAGGACGTGGGTGGCGCTAACTGTGCAAAGGCTATCAGGTAGTTGTAGTAGTTTCTGAAGACCGTCATTTTGGATGGGATTGGGGACAGAAGGAAGTGCTTGTGAGAGTGAGAATCCACTCATTTCCATCCATCTTTCGAGATCTGGAAATTTTCAGTTAATTGGAACGATTCTATTTTAAAAATCCTGTCAACCTTCAAAATTTTCATAATGAGAGCCCTGAACCAACTAACTGAAATGAAAGTAATTTCTTAAATGTTGAATGATTTAGACCATTAAAATTGAAATCTTCTTGCAATACTTATTCCAACAAAAGCAGACTGCTCGTTGAAAGAAGTATGAAATTAAAAAGAAAGTCCTGGTAGTTAAGAGGAAATAAGATAGTTACTGATTGTTACCAAGTGGAAAATGTCGCAGTAAATTCGATTCGGTTGGTATTGCGCGAAATGGATCACTTTCATATTCCGGTGCAAAAATATTCGTTTGTGAGGTGACAAAGGAAACTGAAACGGACATGAAACGTCCCACAAATGTATCGTATGGCCGTGCTTCCGGTCCCAGAATTACAATGCCAGTGAGTGGATCGTCGAATTGATGGCGATAGCCAAGTGGAAAATAGAAACGGTCATTAGTGTCCACAACGGTGGCACCAAGTGGATTACGAACTATTTCTTTGACCATAGTGCCATCGGATGCAAATATGAAGCGAACAGAACCATCAATATCCACAAATAAGGCATAATATCTATCACCATTGTATAATGCAAATGGGATATCTCGATCGTCATATAAAATCGTTGATGGTGTTTCGTTTGTCCTGCAAGTCCTGGTTTTGTTTTGATCTTGAAATGAAATATTAATTGTGTTATATATTATATATTCATATATTATATATATTATATACTCATGTAGATTTATCATATATTTCATTGTTATATAAGGATAAAATGATCAGAATTATCTAGCAATATTTCGTCATCGAACAAAGCACAAAACATTCATAAGTTAAACTATAAGTAATACTAAATAAGAGTTCTTGCATAAATAAATCTCCGGCATTAAAAATAATCTGTCTAAAAAAACACTTTAACTTACGAAGCGAAATGTGTTAAAAGATACGGTCGATTAGGTATTGCATAAAAGAAACGCTGAAATTGCTCGTCACCGACTCTTCGCCAAATTATACGTGACCGATCGTCGTAACCGTATTCAACGTCTATCAAACCCGGTTGATAAACACGATGTACTCGACCGTAGACATCATATTCAAAATACATATTATCTCGACTTCTCGTCCAACCATTCGCATTCACCGTATAGTCCACCTTTACTGATAAATTATTTGAATTTCTTAAGATTGATTCTACAGATCGTAAGAAAGTTTAATTTTGATTGACTCGATCAGAATATTTTCATACATGTAACAAACCTGATCTACGTTTTTCAATTTTCCATTGGAAAATGATATTTTTGCATCATTGATGGCCTTTAATCGTCCATCTAAATCATAATGAAGTGTCCATCGACGGTCATCTGTTTCACCAATTGTATACTGCACTAACTGAAGCAAAAGATATGATTAAGTTCTAGTTGTAGAAAATATTCGAAGAAGAAAGAACAAAAGCTATAAAATCAAAATTTTTGGAAATTTTGGAAGAAAATAAAGACTGATCTAGAATTATGTAAATAGCAATAGCGCTACTACCTGTCCATCCATGTCGAATGATCGTTTTTCAGTTGGTCGCTTCTCTCCGATGACAGTCCAATCGACAGTTTCAACCCAACCGAGCGCATGACGGTTTATGCTCATCTCCACAACTTTCAATTCATTTATCGTTATTTTCCGCATTATTTCTTCACTCGCATTATTATAGAAAATCTCCATTACTAACTGAAAATGATCATCTAATTGAACATTAAATTTTAATTTCTAATAATTCCCTAATATATATTCAATTCTCTTTGCGCAAACATATTAAATAAATATCCATATTATGGTCTCAAAACTAAAGATTGAGAATTTGAACAAAATTACCGTGTCACTCATTATTCGGCGTGTGTATAAATCATATAAAAAGACGAAATTGTTTAATTTTGTTAAGCGCCCTTGTCGAGAATCAAATTGGTACTTTTGTGGTTGCAAACGTACACCATTATAAACGACTGTCATTGATGTTAATCGTAAAAAATCGTCGTATTCATATATGAATTCCACCAAACTTTCAGCAAAACGACTGTAAAAAAATTATCAAAGCATTATGTGATCATAAAAAGAAATGTCGTAACAAAAATGATATGACAGAGTTTAGATACCTACCATTCCGAATAATAACGAAACGTTGAGAAGTTTCAATCAAATATTTCGAGAAGTATTTATTTTATGGAAAATTAACGTTCGTATAACTTTTATATAACGAATTAATTACCGATTTGAATGAGTGACAGCCATATGCGCTTCATGAACAATAGAATGTATCATACCTTGCCACTGATATGACCTCTTCAAGAAACTATTGCTAACTTCCCGCAGCTGGAATAATAAATATTTTTAAAAAATCTACAATATTTATGCTTTATATGAGTTAAAATACATGAGTTGTTTTATATGAGTTTTCAGTAAAATGAATAATACTGTACTGATAGCTAAAGATCGACTGATAAGTCATTTCTACTAATACTAAATTATGTTTAGTTGCTAAAGTTCATTTAGAGGCATGAACTTTCACCCTTCTTAATTTATCATCAATTTCTTATCAAATATCTGATGAAACTTCCGGGAAGAGAGTTATATCTGTATGCTTCTCAAATGTGCAACAATTTAAATAATCAAACAATGTATGATTTTTCACCCTCAAAAATTACAAAATTTGAATGCTTTTTTTTGATTTTGCAAAGATATATTGTTGTTTATCAAAAATCAGATTGTTCATTAATCATTTTTCAGATTCAAAATTTAAAAAAGGACCTGCAAATTTCCATTTTGTTCTTCATATTTGAAGAAGATATTTTCGGCATCTGATGTTATTTGTATCACTCTTCCATACATGTCATGCTTTACGGTTAATGAATGCAATCGATCCGGTGTTCGATAATCTAACAGTTGTCCGTCATCGTTCATGCATGCAACGTAAGATGCATTGGAAAACGAAACAGTACGCTGTCGACAAATTCGATCAAACATTGCGTATTGCATGAAATGATGAAAAATACCGGTTGGAGTTTTCAGAGAAGTAATACCGCCTACGCGATCGGTACGCCAACGATATTTCTCACCTGATGGCATTTGTATAAGTGAAGGAATTAATTGATTTTCCTTCTGATAAAAGAATTTCCTGAAAATTTTCATCATTTCATAGTCAACCACAATATATTTTTAAAAATCCTAGCATCATTTGCTGAAAATTAATTTTGTTGCATGTTGGAAAATTAAAAAAATTTACCGTTCAAGATAATTAGCACCTTCAGCTGCTGCTGACATTAAGATAATTCGATTTAATCGGTCGTATTCGAAAACAATAGTTGAGGCTCCCCAAGCTATTTGACTTAGCCTGCCCGATGAATCATGCATAACTTTCATGGTATCTATATGATGTTGTAGTGGATTAAGTGAGGTAATTTGACCAGCATCATTATACTGGACAGTGAGCACTTCCTCATCGAGACTATTCCGTACAGTATCTTGCTTGCTATCGTAATCGTATTCGATTGTGAATACATTACGTCCATTGATCTGAAAATTTTGAGGAAAAAAATACTGAATTTGAAATTAACATATTTTGAGATTTCACATGCATCACCAGAAAGTAAAATTAAGAGAAGAGCGCATCTCGAAATAACTTTAAAAACTATGAATCAAACTTGAGCTATCCCGAATCTTTTTCTATTTTTATGCTTGTTGAAGCGATTAGGAAATGTAAATTTGTAACAAATTTTGTGAAAATAATTGGAGTACAAGTCGTGAAAGATAAGGAATAGCTATGTAAATTAAAAATGAAAAATATAAAAAATTTGATGAATTAGACAACTGATAACTGAGTTCAAGTTCAAAGTTCAATAAACTTTCTTTCAATTCAAACATGCAATAAAAACATTATTAATTCAATTCTACTAAAAAAAGCATTATGATTGCATCAGTCATCGGAAATTAATTTGTTCGAAATTAAATCGCTAAATATAAAAGTTAACAAAATGAAGACGGTCGATGTATGAGTAGAGCATGAAGCCGCCACTGCACACCCTAACTCATACCCTCGGTCTCCTTCCGACCTGTTGAATACGATGCCATTTCTCCGCATTACGCCGACCGGATTCCTTTCTTCGTATGTAACCACGCCACTCAAAGCGTAAGTTCAGCTCACGTCTTGGAGGATCTACCGTTTCCGGAAGTGTTATTTTCCGCTTCAAAATTGCTGTTTCATGCGGTTCTAAGAGAGGATGCGTTACACCATCAAAATGAGTTCGTGCGCCAAAGGCGACAATCAATAAACCTTCATCGAGTACAGTCACCTGTCGATTCTGAGCACCTTAATCATTTTTTCACATGATTGGAAATTCTGATAATGTTCAAATTGAAATATTTTATAAATTTTCCTTTCAATTTGTAGATTACATATTTCACAAATAATCTTTTCCTTATTTCTATCATTTTTCGTCGATAGCAACAAATTGTTAAATTTTTTCTTCAAAAGTCTTCAATCTTCAAAGCGAAATTATATTTTTTACACTTATCAACAACCATAATTCTCCAAATATTCCTAATTTTTTCATCTTTTAACTCTTAATTCGCTTCTCTCCCTAAACTGTAAAAACTTTTAAACTTACCTTCTTCTGTAAATTTCTTATCGGAAAATTTGTAAACCGTATATGAGTCATTATTTCTCGTCACTTTTGTTACCAAACTGTTTTGTACAAGATCACGTTTCGTTACTGAATAATAAATTCCGGCTGGATTTATCAATGTCTTTGCGCGTCCAAATTCATCATATTCAAAACACCAATTTCGATGAAGTGTTTCACGACAACGTAGGAGATGTCCAGGAAAATACGAGAATTTGGTACTTTCTAGAAGAGAACAATCGATTGTTAAATAAGTAATCGATTGTTAAATAATCTGATGTTAAATAAGTAAGATTCTAAAAAAAAGCAAACAAAAGTAATCATAAAAGTTAGAAAGTTTTAAATTATCGATAAATAAATGAAGAAATTAAAAAATACACAACTGACCACCACTAGGAAAGGTAATTTTTGCTAATGTCCCATCAAACTGATTGAAATTTAATACTGTTTGAAGGCCTGCTGCTGTCTCCAATAGAGTTTTCTCATCATCTGTTTGATGAAGTCTCAAAATATATCCACCAGTGCCAGTTATTTGTATCAAACGAGCAAGACTGTAAAAATTATTAGAAAAACTTTTCAAAATCTTGAAAAATTAAAATGCTTCCGGATATTAAAAAAAATCGCATCTTAGCAGTTTACAAAATTTCTGAAAAAAAAAGTCAAAAATGCAAAAACCAAAGGGAAAACACTTACTGTGTGTCAACGTCATACGTAAACGTGAATACAGTATCGCCAGTAAGGAGATTAGTAGTTTTCACGTGAAGACCGACTTTGTTAAATGTGTAAATCTCTTTCGTATGAGGGCTATGGATACGATATTGCTGAGTTGTTTCGTCATATATTGCACTTGGTTTTTCAAGTTTTTTAATTTTGAAATTACTCTATAAATTATTTCAAATTCAAATATTGATTAAATTCATGCAAACTGAATTAACATATATATCGAAATGGTCTGCTCATTCAAATTTCTCAATTAATACCTACGTATGTCATTAGAATTAATGTGTGATAATAAAAATATTCCATAATATTACAACGTAAAACATTTACACTTATAAAAGTTTTAAAATCTTCACCTTATCAGCTATATATACCACTCCTTTTGAATCAACCGCTATAGCCGACGGAGAATGAAGAAAGGAAGAAGTGGCAACAGTTGGATGAAAATCTTCACATGGACAATTTGTCCGATCACAATCACATTTGCTCAACTTCCCAGCTATCACTTTTGAATGATTATCTGGATAGATTGCTCGAATCTGAATTTAAAATTAACCATCGCACAATTCAAATAATACTCGCCAATCTTTAAATTATCAGTGCAGTAGCAATCATTTTACTAAGAAGCTTTTAATTATCATCTCATTTCATTTCCATTTATCACCCATTTATCAATCGACCAGAATATAACATGAACTTACGTTATTGTTTTTGATGTATTTCAAATAACAACTCTCTTTATAATTTACTGATTAAAAATATTGAAAAATGCACACTACTAAACTAGAAAAACCTATTTCAAATAAAATCATTAAAATTAAATTATCAAACCTGATTCACTTTTTTGTTGTTTGTTTCAGCAATGTATATCGTAGAATCTGGTGCTACAGTAATGGATCGTGCTTCTGTTAATGGTCGTTGTGATAGCAAATCACCTGTTAGTGTTTTCATCTGCTCACATTCACTAATTGTTCCGGCTATAATTGTTCCCATACGAGTATCCAATGATATACTATATATTACATCTATATCAAGTATATACAATTTATCGTTTAGCATATCCACAGCAAGTGATGTTGGCCAAATCTTAAAATTCATTCATATTTTGTATTTTAAAAATTAAAGCTATTTTAATCTTGAATCTTAAAAAAGAATTCGCATCAATCAAAAGAAAGTTGAAATAAAAGAAACATGGGGTACATCAAGATTTTTAAAGCAATGAAAATTGATCAAACCTACAACTTACAGTAATAATATCTGTTAGATCCATATAATCAACTGTACATGGACGTGGTCCATTTCCACGTTCTTCAATCAGCGTATTAATATGTTTCTCTCGATTCACAATCCTGTAAATTACAAATTATTATTTCAGTAATTTGGATTTTCGAGTTCGATCATAAATTTCATCACAACAATTCAATGTATTGCAGAAATACTATAGAAAAATGTGAAATTTTGCTACAGAAAAGAAGGATAATAAACTAAAAGTAAATTCATATCTTACCTGATACATCTACTGTCAGCAATATATAAATTTCCATACTCATCGAAAGCAATGCCTTTAGGAAAGTTAAGTTGAGACATATCAGCGGCTCCACCATCACCACAACGTTTACCCGAATTTCCACATACATTTCCATCACCAACCACTACGTTGTAATTTGTTGTTAGATCGGTTGTACCATCTATATCTTTATTTATTTGCCATATTTGAGCACGTATCGGTAATGAAATAAAAAGTGAATCAGTTAACGGATCGATCGCTAAGTAATATGGATGAGCTGTATCCGATATGCTGCAATGTTAAAATGAACAATTGCTAAATTCATTTCTTCATTTAAATTATAAATAAAATTATTTTGGATGATAAAAGAAAGAAAACTTGAAAATACATTTGAAAGATATTTATTAATAAGATTCTTTTGCAATCTAATTTAGACATAATATTAAATTAATTTAAAAATACTAGAGAAATTCAATAAGAATAAGAAAATCAAATAATAAAAAGTTAAACCTAAGTTCCAACAATGAAATAAGCATTCCATTTGGTGTTAAACGACGTATCAAATTGTAATCACCAATGTACAATGAACCATCACTTCCTACACACAACGCATCTGGACGGAAAAGACGGCCATCACTATAAAATGTAAACCCGTTGCGCACACTTTTATCAGTAATTGAATAAATACTTTCAAAAATATCAAAAACAAAACTTATTTTTTAAATAAACATTTACAATAAAATGTATAAGTTACAAAAATAATGATTGCAAGAGTAAGCTTTCTTTTACAAATTTTAAGAGAGTAAAATATAGGAAGTAGAAATACCTTGCAGGTGTATCACAAAATGGGCAATTAACAGGTCGCTGCTGATCACTACCAACTACTGTTGTTAATAATGGAGCAGTTTCATCCAAAAACACTCTCGTACCATCACCTTTCTCGAGAACATCTATAAAGTCACAGCAGAACAAATGAAATTAGTAATGAATTTTACAGAGGGCAATATAATAGACTGATAAACTGTTCAATAAATAAACATAAACTAGAGAAATAATTTAAAAAAAAAAACAATGTACTGTGTATGATATCGTAATGATGATGGACACTGAGTGACCAACCACCCAATATAAAACGACTAGCGCGATGTCCTTCCAATTTTACAAGGCGGTGAATCCAAGCAATGCTTCTATTGCAGCCTTCATATTCGTATCCAACCGATACTGTATAAAAAAATCATTTTATTTTAAGGAAGCAATATTTTTATGAGAATGGAAAATTTTTCGAAAGTCTTCAAATTTGATTTACGAATTTTTATAAATTTATAAATTTACCTTTAGCATTAACTAAACCATTAAGCGTCTGAGTGTAAACATTCGTTTGTTCCCACGAATAAGTATATGTTAAATTTGGCATAGCAGAAAAAACTTTATGAAAATGGTTGCCAGCAACACTGACGGATAGATGAACCAAACGAATTTCTTCCGGAATGCGACTTGGAAGTAATTCAATGAGTAATGTACTGCGATAGCCATCAGCAAATGAACTGTCATATACGAGATATACTTCATTCGTCGTTGGTATCTTCAAAAAATAATTGATAATTTCGAAAAATAAGAATAATAATGAAAGAGGGAAATGATTGACAAAATGCAATGGTAATAAAAAGATTGCAAAAAATTCAAACAAAAATAAAAATAAAAAGGCTAAAAAAACATGTCAATATACGCATATGTATATGCATGAGGATGCCTTTTTTTGATTTCGATCTCCAATTTTTACTCTCAAATCTCAAATTTAAATTTTATCTTTTAAAAATTTTGTCCACAATGTAATCAGTTGTATTGTATGAATTAAGTTCAGGAAGAAGAATTAAGGCAAGAGAATGATGAGTTAATGAGCGAATAAATTTACAACTTATTTTTAACTTAACGAATCAAATATAGAAGTTAATGTCTATGTACAATTCAAGAAATACCTGAATGGAATCAAACGACTTTCCGGAATCGGCCAGCAACTGAACACTCTGTGCGGATGCTGTAAGTCTTCCGGAATACTGACTTGTAAGCCACGATGCGAATATGACGGGAGCCAAATAATTGGTAGCGTAATACTGTCGGCATTTTTCACTCATTTCCAATCGTTCATTTACAGTCGCTGCCTATAATTTCGCCAAAAAGTCCTCAGTCTATTATCATAAAAAGGTTAAAGAATAAGTTAAGATTCGTAAGTTTCAAATGCATCAAACTTTCTATCATCAAATTTTGATGAGAAATGATAGTTAGTTCCTCATCTTATCAGTGATTAATATTCATCCGCATGACTACAGTAAAACATGCTAACAAAACAGCATCAATTTTTTTTCCTAAAAAATATTCTTAACTATTTAATCTAATTAATAATCCGATTATCACTATTTCTCATGCACATTAGGCTCAATAATTCCCATTTCGGTATTACTTCTACAAGTATCTTCCGGAAACACAAATTAATTTTCATTTGTCATATAATCATTTCTACTATTTCTAAATGATTTATAATTGAATTAATGAATGACCCAGCAAAAATCCTTTTAATTATTAGGTGTTTGTATGTGTGTATGTGTGTGTATGACCTTTTGCATCTCAGTTCCGATTTGACAGGAACTAATAAATGGGCTTCGGATGAATCAAAACGATGTTGTATTGATAGTTTTTGAAGTAAACTGCCATCTGTGTTGAAGGATATAATGACAGTGAAAGGGACAATATATGTGAAAGTCTGCCGCAAAAAAAAGTGACAGAAGTGGAATACTGAAGGAGGTAGGATAATTATAAGATAATTAGCACATGAGCTAAAAGCTTTTAATCACTTTACACTTTTCTTAGCACAACAGCCGGTGTTACTTTTCGGTTGACGCAGTAAGCTATTATAAAAGTAAAGAATGAATAATTTGAAGACAAAAAAAAGTTATTTTGATAAATGATATAAAAAAAGTTTTTCCTGCACTATCTCTGGCTTGACCTATTTTTTGGAACGCTGTATAAATGTCAAGGATTATGGTTATAGATTGATTAATTCAGTGATATTTGATTAGAACATTTAAGGATCAACGAAGCCTCTACAAAATGTTGAAATTTCCAATGCTACATATTTTGACCATATAACTAAAATTCGAACTGCGAATCAGAGTTTTTTAAAGAAGTTCAGGAAAATGGCTTACTGTCGGTCCTAACCGCATTGTTATATAGCCCACATAAACAATCTCATTCCACGGTATGTAGAAACTTTTTTCAAGCTTTTCAAAAGGTTTCCTCATAAATTGCAAAGTGACCGTCTTGCCACCATTAACTACCAGATCAAAGGCACCACCGTTATCCTCACTACGACTCAACGTGAAACCCGTCAGTGTTGGATGCCGTGCCTCCGCAATACGTACGCCTGTAAGCGGTGAACCATCTTCAGCCAAAACTCGTCCACGAATGACTGACACAAAACTGTAATATATATAATTAAAAGTAACATTAATGCTTTTCTTTTTTACATCTATTTTGAAAACAGATAAGACTTCTCAACAATAATATCATGCAGAAGGATCTGATGCACAAATGTCACATATTATGCTCTATCCGTTTTTAAAATTTAAGCTTATATTATTGTTGATAATATTCATTAATTCTTGAATGAAATAAATTCAATCTTTGAATTTTAAAGTTAATACTAAAAAAAGTTCTGAAGCCACAATTCTTCAAGATGATCATTAAATGCTGTTAATAATTTTATCATTACTTCTTGTCTTTGATACATACAAAAATAGTGCTAAAAATATAAGAACCTTTCATTGAAATGGCGTTCATCCGCATAGCGTTGTACCGAATCACGTTGAATCAGAAACTTAATTTGCTGAAAAGAAAATAATGAAATCAAAGGCATCAGGTAGTATATTAATTAAAATTTTACATAATTCCGTGGATGTTGAATAATATGACGAGAAACTAACCTGATAGAAATTACTATTCACAGTTGGTATTACTTTTAAAAGCACATCTCGTGGCTGTATTACAGTGGCGCACATTTGACTTGATGAACAGCTACTATCCGTACAGCATTCCGAATCTTCACAATCGATCAAACCATCTAAAATGATCCAAAATGAATCCATCTATCCTTCTAGAATCAATGCTCTTTCTCAACAAATGATCCCATTTTCTTCTAAACTATTTTTTATTATAAAATTTGCATATTGATACTACCATTATCATTATCAACGCCATCATCACAATTTGATTCGATTGGTAATGAACAGTTCTCGCCAAAAAACGATGTATGACATGCACATTTCCATTGTCCGGAAAACAACCGACAAATACCATTTCCGTTGCAATCATTGACACAGCCAGCTGAAAATTGTCATTTCCCAAAATTCCGATTTCGAAATTAACATGGAACTACTTCTCCTCATTTTTACAGCATCAAAATATTCGCTATCATTCTGAAATTGAATGAAATTCAAAATATCACGATGCTGAAAGCCGAAATGTTGTTTCAATTTGATTAAAAACAGAAAAACAAACCAATGTAACAGTTTTCGCCATTCCAACCTTTATTACATATACAGGTACCATTATTGCAATGTCCATGCTGTTCACAACCAGGAAGACATTTCCGCTCTATGCAATCCATACCTGTCCATCCTTCATCACAAACACAAACACCATTACCGCACTTACCGTTCATACACTCCACTTCGCATCGTTCTGCAAATTTTACAAACATTTCAATCGGATCCGAATTAAATGAATAATAATGACAGTGATGATGTTAATCAGAATCCCAATATTTGAAAAATAAAATATCCACTAAAATCTCTCATTTAATTTTATTAATAATTAAAATATACCCAATTCACATTTTCTTCCATGATATCCAGGAATGCAAATGCATAATCCTGATTCTGAATCAATCCTTCCACGATTGCTGCAAGCCAGATCCGCATCTGATTCCGATTCTTTTTCATTTAACTGAAATTCTTTACCGATGCAACTCTCCGTTGGATATATTTCATCACATTTTTCCCCGCGATATCCATCCTCGCAGTAACATTTCTCGTTGTGACACACACCACGGCCACTGCACTGAGGATCTTTGCAATCTTTCTACAATATTTACGCATTCACACTGACAGAAGAATCAAAGATATCTCATTATATATGAGAATTAAACAAAATTTATCACTTCAAAATTCAATGATCAAATAACACATTTCATTTTGTGTTTCATTCTTCTTAAAATTTGAATATATACTCTTTGATACAAACTGATAGCTTAAATTACATTTACTTTCATTAAAGTTATTTAATATTTATATACTTCGAATAGAACAAATTTAATAAAAAAAAACACCTTGTCACAGAAGGTACCCTTCCAGCCAATGTCACATTCACAATCACCAAACTGATTACATTGGCCATGTCCATTGCAATTAGGTACCTCGCACCAATGTGACAGTAAATCACAGTCCGGTCCTTTGTAACCTTCATGACATATACACTGACCACCAGAAAATACTCCATTTCCACTACATAATACTGGACATGAATCTTAAAATAAGACAAAGCTAATATTTTAATTTATCATAGAATGCAACAAGTGTTGGCAACATATCAAATTTGTGCTTTAAATCCCGCATAATAATATTGAATTAAGTTTCTCGGGAAATTATGCAACTATCGAGCATATTTTCTCTGTTGCTATTTGATCCTAACTCGACTAAATGACCTTTCTCAGCTAATCACTTTATCAGTTTAATGGTCCCAAAATTCGCTTCTATTCCATTTCTTCACATGATAAATGTATTTTAAGAGAGTAATCACAAATTCCCACAGTTGAGGTATTCGTCCGGCTTTGTAATGCAACGAAGAGCGATTGCTTTTTTAACAGAATTCAGTGAAGCGACCTTTGCACTCAGCCGATGAAAAGACAGAAAAAATGGCGCAGTGTGAGTGAGAATTTCTGAACCGCCCCATCTCACAAATGCGCCACCATTACAACACTCATTTTAAACCCCAACATCTCTCTCTTCATCTTATCTCATACCTCATTCGTCCATTTATTTTTTACATCTTTAATTTAAACTTGATTTTAGTCTATTAATTCGTAGGTTATATTTGTATTGTAACTAGGAAGGTACTAGTCTCTTTTCTCTTGGCTATTATTTACTACTGAGATGAAATTTATGCACAGGTCACGTGTCATCTTATTCTCAAATGAAAGTAACAGAGGTCATCAAATAAATGAATTAAACTTGATAGAATTGTCCGAGTAGGATGTGAACATTAAGATAGCTTATCACTTTATGTCCACGAAAATTTCAATAAATGACCAACTTTCTTCGCAGTAAGTTCCACTATATCCCGGAAAACAGTAACATCTGCCATCCTTGCACTGCCCATGTCCTGCACAATCATACCGACAGTCATCGATCCTTTCGTCCACTGTCTGGTGAGCAATCACCGCAGCAACGAGACGTATTGGGAATGGCTAATACAGTACTTTTAAAGTATTGTAAGAAAATGTGGATGTAAAATTATAATAAAATTAGATATACATGTGAATACATAGGTAACATACGTGTAAGTGACGTGAGAGTGGAGTAAATGATTGATAAATGAACATTTAGCTTATTGTCTAAATTTTCAATATTATGGAGAAAAATAAAATTTTTAAAAAAATTTTTTTTTAATTCAAAGCATTTTCGATGAAGGAAATCTGCGCTGTGTTTAATCATTAAGCTGCAAAAATTGATGCATTTTTACCGGGTCAGACAATATTCAATATTCAGCTGCTAACAACAGTCAGTTCTGACTTTTGTCTTATCTGACATTGAACTTTTAATACTTAACTAGAGAAGCGAAATATTAAATTTCCTAACCAAATTCTTTCATATCAAGCTGAACCTATACTTTCTGCTTTAAAATAGCCTACGCTTATCTAATTTTATATGTTCAAAAAATATTTGATTGCTATTTTGATACAAAACTACAAAAATTTAAACAAATTTGAAAGATTTATCCTCTGTGAAAGATTACAATCGTGTTCAAAGATGAAAATCGCTTATATCCAAAAACAGCATACAAAAGCAATTCAAATCACAGTTAGAAATTTCAATTTTAAACTAAAATTAAATGATTATAAATACCTGCAAAATATCATTGAGTAATCCGATATGCCATCGACCACCTAGCAAATAATGTGTTAGGATAGCAGTTCGAAGAAGCTGAAATAAGTAATTATTTGCCATTTTTTCGGCATTATTGTTCCTTGAGGATCAAAACCTTCCAATGGATAGTTTAAACAGCTGTACTAATTAATCAATCCATCTTCTATCATTTATCATTTACACAGACATCACAGCATAGGTAATAAATAGATGGACAAGAATTAAACCATTTAAAACCTTTGGTGCTAACAACTGCTTTGCATTCAATGGCCTTGGACAATAAAGGAGGTCGATACTTATATCATTTTTTTTTATTTTAATGTAAATAAAATTTCAAAATTAATATTTCTCTCTTTCTTTACGAATATTTTCCTCAAATCGATTTCGAAATTTCAAAAATGCGCTAATTTGAAAATTGACATAAATCAATGGTTGCAGTAGCTATTGTTCTTTGCTTCATTAAAAGTTTTTTTAATGAATAATTGACAGATAATATAAACAAACCGGTGTGGAACGTTTCAATCGAATACTTGATGAATTTCCGGTAACGGTTGTTAACCAATCCGCATGAACAATATCCATGAAATCATGAGTAGCCGGTGATGGTAACGCTGTCCGTCTACCATAAATGACCAACTGTGCTTGTGGATCAACGGATATATTAAAAATTATTCGACTATTTTTTTGCACCGAAAAATATCTGTGAAAAAAATGAGCATTAATTAAGATAAAAGAAATCATCACTGATAATGAAATGATCAGTATGATAAGAACGGTCAGCCAAATATTAACTTCATCCGTTAACTAAACTTTTTATTCTTTTAAATGAAAAAAAATATTGAACTTTGTATAATTCGTTGGGTGTAATTCTGTCATTCTGACTGATCTCTTTATAATTATTATCTAACGTTATGTTGCAAAAATGTGATCATTCTGAAGAAACTTACGAATAAACAATAACTCCCGGTGGTAGATCGGCTTCAATTTGTTGTCCTAATTCGAAACTTTCAGGTAATGGCTTCAAAACAGTTGTTTTAATATGTACATCACGCCATGTTTCCGAATGGAATAGGCCTGTTGAAGCTGACGAATACACCGATTTAGTCGATTGCTCACATACATATCGAGAATTATCACTTCCTAACAGTACTGTAAAAAGATCAAATCAGAAATAATCATTGAAAAATCGAAGAAAATGAAATGTGTATAAAATATGAATTAAATTCAATTGGTATCATCAGTTAAATGCCTATGAAGAAATTGTTTCCCAAATCCAATGAAAAAATCCATCTATAAAATCCAACAGCGTTTAAAAGAAATATCCTTAACAAATATCCTACGTAATGTCTATCTTTTTGACTTCTAAAATAAACTTAATAATCCAATGAATAAATAATCTGAGTAAATACTGAAAGTTAAAAAAAAATGCGCCAGAAATTGGATTGAACTTTCTCCTAATCATTAATCGATTGAGTAGGAAAAGACTGAGCAGCAGTAGCTACGAAAATAATAAAAGTTTTCCAAATTTGAATTCCTGAATTTCTGTTACTCTTCTAGTCTTAAAATAAACATAAATCATGAGATTTAAACAATAAACAGAGGTTAAAAAAAGGAATTAACACTTACATAAAAGTATAGTAAAACAGGTGAAGGCAAGAGAAAGAAGAAGTAATATGGCAAGTGTCCTCCAATTACAAAACGGTTTCAATCTTTTCTTATCCATCATTGGATGGCATTTATCATCCGAAATATTTTTCAAACCAAAATTGCCACCACCACCAATATATCGATGTTTGGTGAGGATCGATCCACAATGTGATCCGCGTGGATTCGATGTCAACGGAACATTTTGCAATGCCGAAAAATTAGCTCTACAATGTAAGTTTTAGATAAATATAAACATTCGAGAAATGAATAAATTTTCAAAAATTCATTTAATGGAATGGTTTGATAATAAATTTGTCTTTGTGAAAAAAAAGAGATTTCGAGGAAAAATTTGATTTCATAAAAATTAAAAAAAAAAATGTTTCGTCTAAAAGTCATGACAAATTTACAAATTGAATCGAATTACAGCAGAAAATATTAATTTAATTTTACAGTAGAAAGTATTATTTCTAAAATAAATACTCTATCCACTCAGTATTTCAACAAAAATGTGAGAAGAGATTAAATCTTGCATGATGAAAACGTCATAAGTATATTTGCCGAATCAACAAATCATTTTTTTTTTTTTAAATTAACTATTACAGTGTATAAAGAAAAAACAAAAAAAAAACGTCATAATAGTACATTTATCGAATTAGGTCATAATTCTGAACATTGAACTGACCATTTTGCAGTTCCGATTTATTTTCCCATTATTTATTTTATTGAAATAAACTATATAATAATAGTGGATAAATCGAATTGAATTAAATGAAAAAACTGTCCGCTACGGCGAGATTACATTGAGAGAAAGAATTAAAATAGTTCAAAAAATATTGCTTGAAAATTTTATAAATTATTACTGAATTTAAGTTGAGGTAGAAATTTAAATTCCAATTTAAAATTATGCAAATAGTCGACGATCCATAAAGCAATGAAGCTATTGAAAATGAAAATGGACTAGTGAATGAGAAAGGGAATATCAGGGTTAGTTAGCGACACTAATTAGATTTGGTTTAATTGAAGGGGGCGGTGAACATCTGAAACATTGAATTCATTGTGTGAAACCGTTGAACCGAACAACAATAACAGGAAAGCAATAAAAATCATGTAATTAAAGAGAGTTGTAAAACACTCTCGTCACACATTGACATGAAACTTGAAAAGTTAATGAATATTTTTCTCAACAATAACATCATCAAAAAAGGATTCTGATGAGCAAATGTCGATTATGAACCGATTTGATGTCGAAACATTGATTGAACTCTGTGTATTCTTACTTTCAAATTATAAGAATTAATAGTTTATCAATATTATCAATACCTTAAATAATAGATTATGTATTTTTAGTGGTATATAGTTAGTGCTAATTAAACTTATTCACAAATAAAAATATTGGTAAATTTCCAGATTTTTTACATTTATGTATATCAATTTGAAACTCTTCTTTCTTAATCTATTGATATTTGCAGTGCGGTAAACATCCTTCAACGTTTTCATTGGGCAATGACCGCTTAATCCGGGAAATTGATATTTCTAAATAAAGATTGGAAGATTTTGCATCTTTCCGTGATCCTACTCGAATGCAGAAATGAGGAGAACAGTGCCATCAGTTTATATCAAAGCTCTAAATATAAGATCTATTTTAGATTCCTCCCACAATTTCCTTAATATTTTAGCATTAGGCAACTTTCTTCTGGTCATTTAACATTGATATATCTAACAGAATGTACGAACTCCAATCTCCTAACTTGACCCCTCTAATTGATGTCAGGGCAGAGCATATTAGGATCTCTACAGCATGGCTGTATATATATCCCCTCAACAGATCGAATATTAAATTTCGAAAAACGAAAAATCCATTACAAAGGTGAAAGAGAATGCATATTTGGTATGGTCAGTGCACACGATGCAGTTATAGGTATGGT